TTCCTCTGTGCAATACAGTATAATCTTGTTTATCTATTCTACAATTTTGAAATCCCATTTTAAAAATTAGAAAGTAAGCCAGAAAGAGAAAGAAAAATACCATATGACATCACTCATATGTGGAATAAAACAAAAGACACTATGGACTCATCTATAAAATAGACTCACAGACACAGTAAACAATTGTGGCTCCCGGGGAAAGGGGTGGGAAGGGATACATTTGGGAGTTTGAGATTTGCAAATGTTAGCCACTATATATAAAATTTTTTTAAAGTTCCTTCTGTATAGCACAAGGAACTACATTCAATATCTTGTAATAACCTTTAATGAAAAAATATATGAAGATGAATATATGTATGTATGTGCATGACTGGACATTGTGCTATACACCAGAAACTGACACATTGTAACTGACTGTACTTCCTTAAATACATACATACATACATACATACATACTTACATACATGCATACATACATAAAATAAAAATTAGAAAAGAAAAAGAATATGCAACAGAGACCACATGTGGCCCACTAGCCTAAAACATTTACTATTAGAAAAGTTTGCCAGTTCCTGCAAGATTTTTGTTAGGTGCCTTTCTTGATTTTTTTTTTTTTTTTGTGGTTGGAATTAATTGATATTCTTAGATCTTGAATTTGTAATTTTTATTAAATTTGAAAAAGGTTTGGCCATTATTTCTTCAAATATTTTTTAAACTTTTTTATTGATTTATAATCATTTTACAATGTTGTATCAAATTCCAGTGTAAAGCACAATTTTTCAGTTATACATGAACATATATATATATTCATTGTCACATTTTTTTCTCCGTGAGCTACCATAAGATCTTGTATATATTTCCCTGTGCTATACAGTATAATCTTGTTTATCTATTCTACAATTCTGAAATCCCAGTCTATCCCTTCCCACCCTCCGCCCCCTTGGCAACCACAAGTTTGTATTCTATGTCTGTGAGTCTATTTCTGTTTTGTATTTATGCTTTGTTTGTGGTTTTTTTTTTAGACTCCACATATGAGCGATCTCATATGATATTTTTCTTTCTCTTTCTGGCTTACTTCACTTAGAATGACATTCTCCAGGAGCATCCATGTTGCTGCAAATGGCGTTATGTTGTCGGTTTTTATGGCTGAGTAGTATTCCATTGTATAAATATACAAATCTTCAAATATTTTTTTTCATCTCTCTATTCACCCTTTCTACTCTCCTCTGCAGATGCCAGTTACCTGTATTGGAGTTGTCCCACAGCTCACTGATTCTCCCTCAGGTTCATTTTGAATAGTTTCTGCTGCTGTCTTCAAGTCTATGCATCTTTTCTTCCACGGTATTCAATCTGCTGTTAATTCATCTGGAGTATTTTTTACCTCAGACGTTGTCATTTTCATCTCTAGAAAATTTAATTGAGGACTTTTTAAATAGCTTCCATTGTCTCTGCTTAACATGTTCACTCTTTCTCCAAGTTCTTGAACATTCAAGATAAAGGTATGGTAACTGCTTCAATGTCTTTGTCTACTACTTCATCATCTGTGTCATTTCTGGGTCCATCTAGTTGATTTCTTTTTCTCCTCAGTGTTGGCTCTTTTCCTGCAGCTTTAAATGCCTGGTGATTTTTGATTGAACACTAGACATTGTAAATTTTGCCTTGTTCAGTGCTGGATATTTTTGTATTCCTATAAATAACCTTAGCTTTGTTTGGAAAACATGGTTAAATCTGGAGCAAGAAATCAGGAAAAGTTTATCCTTCAGGGTCTTACTTTTAAGTGTCTTCTATTACATCTATCTGTGTACTTTACTTCCTATAATGAGTAATTATAAAATTAGTACATTTTCCTTTCCTTCCCAACCCCCACTCCATGACCTCATCTTAGTTGGTTATTTAATCTCTCAGTGTTCGCTACTGTATCTGTAAATATGTTCATAATTTACTTGATTTATCAGCTTTTTTCTTAGCTGGAAAAAGTATACTGAGCAAATTATATGACAAATTATCAATCCATGTTTTACTGAGAGATTTTAAAAACAAGAGTAGATGCTAAATTTTAATGAATGCCTTTTACTATCTATGGAGATAATAGTACAATTTTTCTCTTTTAATTTATTAGCACAAATTATACTATTAGATTTTCTAATATTAAGCTATCTTTGTATACCTGGAGTAACTCATCTTAGATATGATATATTATTATTTAATGTGCTCCACTATTCTGTTTAATAATATATTGTTTAGAGTTAATTAATATTCCTAAATAATATTTGTCTGTAGGTTCCTTGTTTCCTTTATCTTTGTTGTTATTTGATATCAATACTATGATAGCTTTATAAATACTTTTTGAAAGGTTTCCTCCTTTTCCTATACTCTAGAACAGTTTCTATTAATTAAATGTTTTGTAAAGTTATCTTAGGAAACCATTGTGGATTACCTTTTTATTATTTAGGGTCTCCTTCATCTTATTAATACATTTTATCATAAATTCAATTTTTTCTGATAAAATTATGGTTCTATTTTTGTTCACATTTACCTAGTATGCTTTTTATTCTATTTTATTTTATTTTACTGAGTTATAGTCAGTTTGCAATGTTGTGTTAATCTCCAGTGTAGAGCACAATTTTTCAGTCATACATGAACATACATATATTCATTGTCACATTCTTTTTCACCATGAGCTACCACAAGATCTTGCATATATTTCCCTGGGCTATACAGTATAAACTTGTTCATCTAGTCTATATATACCTGTTAGTATTTACAAATTTCAAATTCCCAGTCTATCTCTTCCCACCCCCCTGGCAACCACTACTTTGTATTCTATGTCTGAGTCTGTTTCTGTTTTACATTTAGGTTCATTTGTCTTTGTCTTATTCTTATTCTTATTCTTATTCTTATTCTTATTCTTATTCTTATTCTTATTCTTCTCCTCCTCCTCC